AGAACCTCCCACTTCAAGAACAAAGCTGAAGGGTCACCTTCCTCCACCACACTTCCCCATAATCACAACTCAGGGCTCCATAATCTACCACTTAAACCTTCTAATAGTCTTGTTTGTTAGAGAATTTCTTAAGGATTTCTTAATACAGATGGTTTTAGACAACTGTGGCTTTAGATTACTTATTGGTCCAGCAAGGAGGTGTATGTCCTATAAAGACCACCCCCTCTTGAGTATAAGTTAATAATTCTGGACAAGTTCAGACAGTCTAACAGGTACAACTATTCCAAAATCTCACCCTAGTTATAAAAACCTACCTTCACCTTACCCAAAGGCTTTGATTTATTTTCTTGGCTGGACTGCAACAAATGAGGGAACGATTTGACAGGATTTCAAAATGTTTTCTTTTGAATTATATTGTTATTTGTCCTTTATGCTTTGCTCATATGTTTCATGTGCTGGGTGACCAATGCCTGTCAGCAGCTTTTATTATCTCTGCTGTCTGGACGGTGTCCATGATTTTCCCTAAAGATTAATGTGTAGGCACTGTGGGATCACTTGTGATGAAAAAACAGCTTTTTCCACTGCTGCTCAGGCATTTCACAGTATGACAATCCTGCTCACACCCAGGGTCTGGAATTCAGATATTGACCTGAATTTAGGAAGTCTACCATAAGTTCCTGCTTTATTTTTCCCAGGGCACCTTCTAAAATAACCACTCAGAGTTAGGCCTGCAAAAAGTCATTGACCACCATGTCCATCACCTGTAAAAGGGGCTTGCTATCCCGCTCTTGATCTCCTTCTTGCTGGTGACCTTGGACCGAAGAGTGCGCTTCTCTTGGCTCATTGTGTCACCTCCCTTCTGGGATCTCTAAGTAATAAATCTTGTGGCTCTACTTCCTTTGTGTGGGTGCACTGAAATTGCACCTTCAATCAAATGACTCCAGGGTTTCCACGCCTCCAGGGTAGGAGCTCAGATGGTGCAGGAACACCTGTTGCCCTTGTGCTTGTGCCTCCTTATCCAGTAGGTCATCCCTGCGTATTCTTACTTCAGCACACTTGCCCTGGCTTCTCAGCACAGTTTACGATTAGGAACACTTTATATGTGGGACTTCTTTAGTTCTATTTTGAAGATAGGCTCGTCCAGACAACATTTTTGTTTGCTCTGCTAGGCTCTGTGACTGCTTTCAAGGCATTTCAGCTGATCTTTATGGAAGAATGCAGCTAGTAAATGTAAAAGGAATGATAGCTATAAAAACAGCACCCGTGGATGCTAACTGCCTTTCGATGCAATGCTGAGAGAAGTGGGATATTCACACAGTTTCAAAGTATCCACTCACAGAAGATTATAGAGGGGAACATGTACCTTCTAATGAAGAGATGGGGAGCCAATCACCTCCACCAAGTGCAAATCAGCATTTCTGAGAGAGAATGACTTGGATTATGTGCCAGTTGTGGTGGAGCCAGATCTCAGAGGCATCACCTGGGTCATTTTCTAGGACCAATGTCTAACCTGAATTTCATCACGAAGAACTAATTGGATACAACCAGAATTTGGGATGTTTTGTGAGATAATTGGGTTAGATTTTTCAAAAGAATCAGTTTTAGGGAAATAGACAACAAAAGGGAGCGAAATGGTTTGGGCTGGGGTACTGATCCAGATGATAAGAGACAAAAGAGACATAATAAAATGCAATGCAAGGATCTTCATTGAATTCTAAATAGAAAAAAAGCAGCCTTACAGGACATTATTGGGCACGTTGGGAAAATATGAACATAGATTGCATGCTTAGTCATGTTATAATAAAAGAGGAGAATGTCCTTACTTTTAGGAACTATCAACTGAAACATAGGGGGTGAAGTGTCACAGGGGCTTCAATTTACATTCTGGTGTTTCTTTAAAATAGTATACATTTATTCGTAAATAGAGGGACAGGGTGGGGAATACATGTGGTGAAATCTTATTCATTGTTGAATCTAGGAGAATGTTTATAGGTATTCGTTGTGATATTTTAAAACAATTTCATGTAGGTAACCTAGGTGGTTGAGTCGGTTGAGGATCTATTCTTGATTTTAGCTCAGGTCATGATCTTGAGGGTGGTGGGTTCTAGCCCCACATTGAATAAAAGACATATTTGAAAAATATTTGGTCTCGGTTTTTAAAAAGTCATTCTATAACTACAGGTTTGTTCAGGGTATTTACTTCACTGAACATACAATTCTCTCTCTGGCTGTGCTTAATTTAAACTTTAAAATATTGAAGGCTTCATATTCATATTACCTGAAGTTCTATGAAGTCTTCAAATGCTATTTGTCCTTTTTGCTGATTCTTTCTAAATGAAGTCTTAATTTCGGGGTTGTGGGTCTGTTTTCTGTGGAGACACATGTCAGTCACATGTGGTCTGGTTGAGGGCTTGTCTGTTCCGAGGTTTGGGTGTGTCCTGTGAGGTTGCCCAAGGCTATTTCTAACACGCGATGTAGTTTTATATTAATTTATTGTCTTACGGTTGCTGGGCCAAGTGGGTTGTAGAATTTGATCTATAGTACAGACTCACGCATAACAAATTCTTAGGGGACACTTCTTTTTCATCCATAACCCCCAACAAACATAGTCAAGCTTCCTCACTGTCTTCTGGTACAGAGAAACTAGTTTTCTTTAGAGCACTTTTTCTCCCCCAGAGCATTTTAAAGAATCGAAGTTCACAACAAGGCTGCTTATCTCCAGTTCCCTCGAGTCTCTGCTCCTGACCTTCACAGGCATTATTGTGGAGGTGAGCATTTTCCCCACCACACCCAGCAGCAGTCAGTGTCCTCTTACACTAAGCCTTTTTTTCTCTGAGTGCCTTTAAATATCCTTTTCTTCCTTCATGCCCAGATTTACACTTAAAAGCATGTTTGTTGCATGTAATATAATTTCTTGGTGTTTGAATTGGCAGGATTTTCACAGAATCTTGTTTGTTTTCTTATCGGAACTACTTCCTTAATCTTTTTTTTTTTTTTTTTTTTTTTTTTTTTTTTTTTTTATATTTTTTTTTTTTTTTTTAGAAAGGACTCCACTGGGTTTTAAACTTTTAAAACTTCTTACGTTGGGTGTCAAAAATAAATAACATTTATCTAAAAACCAAATTCTTTCTTCAAANTTTTTTTTTTTTTTTTTTTTTGCTTAAGGGCAGTAAATATTATTCTGTATACCAGCAGAAAGGACTCCACTGGGTTTTAAACTTTTAAAACTTCTTACGTTGGGTGTCAAAAATAAATAACATTTATCTAAAAACCAAATTCTTTCTTCAAAGGTGGTGAAAACAATTTCCATGATATAGGAAAATAGTGGTGCCTTGGAAATCTATATACCAGCTAGTTTAGCTTCTTGGTCCAAGGAAGCATGTTCCATTCATCGCAGGGGCTCCATTCCTGGTCTGATAACTAGCACAGAGTGGGGGTCTGATTTTTGTTATTGTCATTAACTGATTTTAAAAGTGCTTATATACCCATCAAATAGGAAGACACATCTTTTTCTTCTTGAATCACAGCTTGCCTTCTGTGCAACTTTAACCCCAAAAGCACATCATCATTGCTGCCACTTACAGTCACAGCGCCAGCCTGTGTATCTGCCTATGTGAAAATGGAATTGGCACGTGGCCAGCTCTCCTGTGCACTGTGAAGGTGGGAGTTACCTCCTGGTTCCCAGGGGAGTTTCAGGCCCTCTGGGTCTAACCTCAGTTACCGCTTATCCAGGAGAAGCATGCGTGAGATAGGACTTGCCCAGGACACTGGCCCGTGGGTGCCCCTCTGCAGCCCCCTAGTTCTAGCTCCCTGTCCTGGTGGAATGTGAACGTATCCTGTTGGGCCAGGGATGTATCTTCTTCCACATCCACCTATTTACTGCATGCTCATGCAAGTTTGTTGGGCTCCAAGGCAAGGTGAAGGGCTCAGGACCCCACACTGTCATGTAGAGCAGCCTTCAGGAGGCTACTGGGGGCAGGTCCCTCCATGACAATACCAGTGCCCACCTGAGGGGAAAACTTCAGCCCTGCAGATTCACAGGATTGACCCGATGCAATCCACTCACTTGATCATGCTGGGCACACAGAGACTGTCTCCACCTCCCAAGTTCTGGCATCTTGGGAGGAGATGTGGGGGTTTCATTAATGGGACAACCTGTTGCTGAGGTAAAAGGTGAAGTTTTCAGAGGACCTCTGAGTCTGGTTTATGCAAGATGTAGGTTATGCAAGATGCCCTGCACCACCTCCGGCTCCTGTTTCTCTTGTGGCTTTGGGATATCACAAACCAATGTCACAACTCCCTGGCCTGAGACACCAGGGGGCCAGTGATCCTGCTCCTGCTCATTGCCCTTTCACTCTCAGAACTGTTTCCAGTTGCCTAGACTGAATCTTTTCTGAATATACTAACTTAGGAGGAGAGAATTCTTTCTGCAGCCACAGAAAAGCAAAGAAGGCTTGTGGTCAGCCCTGTAGGCTGCTTTCGTGGTTTCCTGAATCTGCCGCCACTGTGCCCTTCAACTTTACCGAACAATGTCAACTGACCAGGCAGGGATATCTGGCTGTTTTGATACCTTTGGCAGAGACCCTAAGACCCAAGTGTCCTTGGTTGGTCTGAACCCTGTTTTAGAATGGCCTCAATTATCTGACAGACACAGATTGGGAGCCTTGTTCCATGGAGGTAGACCAGCAGTGTCTCCCACATGCAGGTTGTGGAAAGACCTGGCAATAATGTGCTCAGAAGGAATTAAGGTAACTCTGAGTAAAGTATATACTTTAATCCAATAAGGCCACCATAGGATCAATAGACAGAGGCCTTGGGAAATTTGACTATGGGCAGAAAATTATTTTTTTCTCCTTTCAGATCTTTCAAAAACAGATTTTTTCCTTTATGAGCTGTAGAAAGCAATCGACTTTCCCCCCACCTTCCAGACCTTGCTTTCTATTATCATTGAAGGTAACTAGTCTGGTGATTCCATATAAGGACTTTTGGGTAGTACTCACAAGATTCCAGGCAAGTGGTTTTATGAGACCTCGAGCGTTGCTTTCTATTTGCTGACACTCGATGGCTGCTTCTTTTTAGGCTTTTCTTCCAGGATGCTTTGTGATTCTGAAGCCTCAGATGTATGCCACAGACAAGGACAGGATATACACAGATCCTGTCCGTTGGTTCCCTGGATATAGGACCTGCTTAAGGTAGGTTGAGCATCAGGCTACATCTAACTGTTTAACAATGGAAAGAGGAGGTGAAAGAAGTAACCAATGAAAGCCCTATTCATTATCTCCAGAGGATCTCAATGACAACACACACAGACCTTTGGTCCCAAACAATTTTGCTTTATAGCTGCCTATTTTCTGGCACTGGGATACTATTTTGGAATTACAAATTTGGAATTACAAGGAGGAGTAATTATATGGCATGTACACCATCACTTTTCCTCCTTTACCTCTAGTATATGCAGATAATTGATCAGGGAACACTTTCCAATGAACCCAGGTGTGTTCTCAGAATCCTTCTTAACACAGTTTTCCAGAGAGTCGCTTCCAATCGTTAATAGTTGGCTAAATGATGAAACCTGTTTGCCATTCCTGGTATATGGTATACATGATGCTCTGATAAAATGTAAGTCAAAGGTTAAAAACTGCAATGGATGTCTAAAATTTGTTTAAGATTTCATTCATTGATAATTGCAAACTAAGCATTTTTTTACTTTGTTTTGTTTATTAAATTGAACTGCCTAGATGCTGCACACTATTCTATTCTCCAGGCTCTGAGCTGTCAGCACATAGCCCAACACAGGGCTCAATCTCAGGACTGGTGATATCATGACCTAGGCTGAAGTCAGATGCTTAATGGACTGAGCCTTCCAGGTGCCCCTAACAAATTATGTTTTGAGTGGACACAGGTAGAATGTATTCAATGTTTAAGGTAATCTGTTTGTTGGTTTGAGATAGACCTGTTTATCAGGATTAAATTAAAAAAAAAAACGTTTTATTCTACCTAGGTTTGCTGAAGGCCAAATAATCTCACGTTACCTCTGTTGCAATTTGTTAGCAAAAGGATGACTTAGAATAACAGTTAATACTGTCTCAAAGTTTTCACCGTATATAAGATAGCTTTCAAAGTCTTTGGTAACCTGGAACTTTAAAGTTTTGTTTGCATGCTAACTGGGACTGAAGTCATTAGATATCTATTGAGGTAAAAAGCTAAAGCACTGGGGCACCTGGGTGGCTTAGTCGGTTAAGCGTCCGACTTTCGCTTAGGTCATGATCTCGCGGTTCGTGGGTTCGGGCCCCACGTCGGGCTCTGTGCTGACTGCCAGCTCAGAACCTGGGGCCTGTTTCGGTCTGTGACTCCCTCTCTCTCTTACCCTCCCCTGCTCACGCTGTCTCTCTCTCTCTCTCCTAAAAATAAATAAAACATTAAAAAAAAAAAAAAGCTAAAGCACTGATCACTAGATGTAGGTTTGTGCTTTTGAGTTATTGCAGAGCAACTAAGTCGTTTTGGGTCTGGTCAACATGCTTTGCACTTAATTAAGACTTTACTACAAAAAACCTGCATTGTGCTTAATTGATAAATTTACCATCTTAAAAAAAATTTTTGGTGTAACAGTTCTCAATTGGTTAATAAGTTTTCATTGGAGACTAAGGTTTTTAAGAGTTAAAATTCTACTAAATGTACGACCCAGTGAAGTGGCGCCAGCGCCTGGTGAAGTGGCGGCTGTATGAGCGAAAAGTTGCCTGCTGAAGCAGAGGCGGCCGGCAAAGGGGTTGTGGCAGGGTGAGGTGTTGCGGACTCTGCGGACCTGAAGTTGCTACATTCCCAAATGCACTCGGGTTGTATTGCTGCTTGACCCCGGCTGATCAGAGGCTGTGACACTTCCCCCACCCTCCACTCAACCACCGGCAACAGCAAGCAGCAACCCGTGGAACTGTTAATGGCAGTATAACAAAGTGTCTCAGGAGTAATTAGACTAGACAGTTTCTCTGGATAACACCACCTTCTTTCTTTCACCTCTCCAACCATATTCCACCCTTTAGCTCTTTGAAAGAAGCTTCTTATCCCTTCTGCCTATTCATTCTATCTCCAGTTTTGCCTCATCGCTGCCTTATCATCTCTCTCTTTCTCTATGCACTTCAACCAGCACTGCATACACCCGGCTATTTAATTGTAGCTGGGAAATCTGGTTATATGCTTTAAACCAATCTTTGTCTATCAGTTTTCTTCTTTCTTCCTTTTCTTTTCTTCTTTTTGACTTTTTTATGTATTTTTATTTTCTATCATTCGCCTTCCCTCCTCTGTTTTTTCTCATTACTTTTTAGTTTTCCCTCTTGGTTAGCGTGATTGTTGGATTTGTCTGTGCGTTTTTGTCCCTCTGTTCCCTGTGTGTTTGTCTGTATGTTTTCTTCACCTGGGGTACCTCAAGAAACAAGCCAGAGTACACATGGTGGAGAGTGCCAAATAACACTACGAGTAGGAAAATAAAATAACCACAGTCTCAACAAGAGAGACCAAGAGATACCATTCAAAGAACACTTTCTAAAAGGATAGGCCCTGGACAGTCAAAGAGTCTTCTTGGGTACAGCAGCGCTGACAGGTGCACAGAGCATAACAGGTCTTTAAAACTAACAAGAGACAGAAAGTTAACCAAAATGACAGAATGAAAGAGCTCTCCTCCAAAGAAACTCCAAGAAGAATTGACAGCTAATGAACTGCTCAAAACAGATATAAGCAGCATAACTGAACAAGATTTTAGAACAATAATCGAAAAATTAATGGCTGGGCTTGGAAAAAGCATAGAGGACATCAAAGAAACTATGGCTACAAACAACATGGAGAACAAAAATAGGCATGATGAATTAAAAAATAAGATAAATGAAATACATAATAAACTAGAGGTGTCCAATGTACATTGAAGAGGCAGAAAAGAGAATAAGTGATTTAGAGGACACCATTATAGAAAAACAAGAAGCTGACCAAAAAAGAGACAAACTGATCCAGGAACATGAAAGAAGAGTTCGAGAGCTCAGCGATACGGTCAAATGCAACAATATCCATATCATAGGAATCCCAGAAGGGGAAGAGAGAGAGAAAGGTGCTGAAGGAGTCCTGGAACAAATTATAGGAGAGAACTTCCCCAATCTAGGGAAGAAAGTAAACATTGAAATACAAGAGGCACAGAGAACTCCCCTCAGACGTAATTTGAATTGATCTTCTGCATGACATATCATAGTGAAAATGGAAAAATATAAGGACAAAGAAACAATTTTGAAAGCAGCTAGGAGAAAGGGGCCCTAACATACAAAGGGAAACCTATCAGAGTGATGACAGACCTATCTACTGAAACTTGGTGGGCCAGAAAGAATGGCAGGAGATCTTCAATGTGATGAACAAAAAAAATATGCAGCCAAGAATCCTCTATCCAGCAAGCCTGTCATTCAAAATAGAAAGAGAGATAAAAATCTTTCCAAATATACAGAAATTGATAGAATTTGTCACCACTAAGCCAGCCCTACAAGAAATCCTGAGGGGGACTCTCTGAGGGAAGTATTGCAAGGAATGATAACACCAGAGACACCACCACAAGCATGAACCCCACAAAGAACACAATGACTCTAAACCCACATATTTCAATAATAACACTGAATGTAAATGGCCTGAATGCTCCAATCAAAAGACATAGGGTAGCAGAATGGATAAAGAAACAAAATCCATCTATTTGCTGTCTACAAGAAACTCATTTTAGATTGGAAGATACCTTCAGATTAAAAGTAAGGGGAATGGAGAAATATCTATCATGCTATGGGAAGTCAAAAGAAAGCTGGAGGAGCTATACTTAGACAAACTAGACTTTAAATTGAAGACAATAACAGGGGATGAAGAAGAGCATTATATAATAATTACATCAAGAAGAACTAACAATTATAAATGTCTATGCATCAAATATGGAAGCACCTAAATATTTAAAACAATTAATCACAAACAGAAACAAACTTATAGGTAAGAAAGTGCTCAATGCAGGGGAGTTTAATACTCCGCTTACAGCAATGGATAGGTCAACCAGACAGAAAATCACTAAAGAAACAATGGACTTGAATTACAATATGGACCAGATGGATCTGACAGATATATTTAAAACTCTGCATCCTGAGGCCAAGGAATTCACTTTCTTCTCAAATGCTCATGGCGCATTCTCCAAGATAGATCACATACTGGGACATAAAGCAGCCCTCAATAAATATAAAAGAATTGAGATCATACCATGCACACTTTGAGATCATAACGCTTTGAAACTTGAAATCAATCACAGGAAGAAGTCTGGAAAACCTCCAAACACATGGAGATTAAAGAACACCCTACTTAAGATGAATGGGCCAATTAGGCAATTAGAGAGGAAATTAAAAAATATATGGAAACAAATGAAAATGAAAATACAAAAATACAAACTCTATTGGATGCGGCAAAGGCAGTCCAAAGAGGAAAGTACATTGCACTCCAGGCCTATTTGTAGAAATTAGAGAAAGCACAAGTGCAAAATCTAAAACTCTCCTAAAGGAACTAGAGGCAGAGCAACAAGACCACCCCAAACCCAGTAGAAGAAGAGAAGTAGTAAAAATTAGAGCAGAAATAAACAACATAGAGACCAAAGAAACAATTGAACAGATCAATGAAACCAAGAGTTGGTTCTTTGAAAAAATAAACAAAATTGACACACCTCTAGCCAGGCTTCTCAAGAAGAAAAGAGAGACCACCCAAATAGACAAAATCATGAATGAAAATGCACTTATTACAACTGACCCCTCAGAAATACAAGCAATTATCAGGCAATACTATGAAAAACTATATGCCAACAAATTGGACAACTTAGAAGAAATGGACAAATTCCTAAACACACACTCACTACCAAAATTCACACGGGAAGAGATAGAAAATCTGAACAGACCCATAACAAATGAAGAAATAGAATCAGTAATCAAAAATCTCCAAACAAATAAAAGACCTGGACCTGATGGCTTCCCAGGGGAGTTCTACCAGACGTTTAAAACGGATTTAATACCAATTCTTCTCAAGCTATTCCAAAAAATAGAAGTCGAAGGAAAACCTCCTGACTCATTTTATGAAGCCAGCATCACTCTGATTCCCAAACCAGACAGAGATC